ACCACTGAGAGCTGGCAAGCCACGCCTCCTGCTCCGCGGCCACGCCACATGCTGCCTCGGGATTGGTTGCAGAGCCGGAAGTAAGGGATGGGCGCCACGCTAGAACGCTGAGGGGGGTGAGGGTTTCCCCGTCTCCTCAGGCGGCCCGCGGTGGTACCCTGTGGTGGGGAGAGGGAGACCGCGTCTTCCGCAGGGCCTTCGAGGTACCTCGGGGTCTCTACTCCCAGCCTCGCAGACGAAGTCCTCCTGGCAAATAACCCTAATTTACATTAAATATCTTTTGGTGAAACTTCTGCTTCTTTAGCTCAGTTTGCCGCCACGTCCCTAAACTGATGCCTGCAGAGCGAGATGAGCAGAGACGTCAGAGGCAGGGGATGCACCCGGGGAAGAGGCTTTCAGGGGTGGCGAGGCGGATGGCGAGGCAGAGGGCAGACAGGAGGGTGGAGAAGAATTCCCGAACCTGGTGAGCCAGCTCCTGTGATTCTCCCTGTTTTCTGAAGCCATAATGCTTTCAGAACAACCTTTTCTTTTGACCTACTTCTGCACTGCATGATTACAGCTGGTTGCCTCCTGGTGCTCTAAAGGATCACAGAGAATAAAACTTGCAAAGTTTAGTATCCACATTGTTTTAATACCAGGTTTAACTTTTTTTTTTTTTTTTTGGTAGTAAGATCTCGACTAGTTCAATCAACGTTGGACCAATTTATTCCCTATAAGGGCTGGAAACTTTATTTCTCTGAAGGTATTTTTAGACCAAATTTATATGTAGAAGTATTTTATTCCATTTTTTTCTAAAATTGGTTATAAGTAGAGGGGATAAGTTCAACAGAAAGCAACTGAAATTCATGTTTGTTATAGAAAAACATTAATACAGTAGCGATTTTGGTCTTGTGGTATACTGTAATCTCTGTGGGCTCCAAACTTTGGAAAGGAATCTTGAATAGTGTAAGATATGATCTTTCTTAAACCTGTTCAATTAGCCACATAAAACCTGCAGTCTGTCAAAGATTGGAATATACATACCTCTGCTGTACTTTTCTTGATCCTATGTGCTTGTCCTATGTCATCTTAGACAAAGTTCTGTTTTATAACAGGACGTTACTGTGATACTGTAGAGATCTGTCATCTTCCTCAGCTTTGGAATGCAGGAAAATAATGGAAGAGAAATTGCCTGTTTGTGTCATTTTGTGAAATGGAATTAATTATTTATGTCAATTATTAATGCAATTTGTTTCTAATTAGCTTATGCTGACAAGTCTCCTTTTGTCCAGAAGACTCAAGCCTTTGAAAAGTTTTTCATGCAACGCATTGAGCTTTATGATAAGGTAAAAGCAAAACAAAACACCTCCCCCCCACAACCTATTGTTGATACAAGAACATTACAGATTTTTTGTATTTTCTCCATCAAAAATAATCTCCATCATAGATATGAAATGTTTATGACATGATTTGGATGTGTTGTGTTTATAATTTGAAGTGTATTTCCTAACTGAAAATGTTTCACAGGATGAAATAGAAAGAAAAGGAAGTATTCTTGTGGATTATAAGGAACTGATACAAGACAGAGAATTAACTAAATCAATACCAAATATATCTACTGAGTTAAGGGATATGCCTCAGAAAATACTGCACTGCATGGGTCTGGCAATTCATCAGGTAAATATGATGTTCTAATACATAGAATAACCCTCACAAAGAATCAGTGGGACTTAAAGGTAATTATGTTATAAACCCCAAATCTCTGTTTTTCTGTCTCACAGAAATTTACTGTTTATTCAAAACTCAAACTCTTCCATCTCTCCACCATTTCTGTATGGCCTACAAAATCATGTTTTGAAAATGCTTTAGTCTTGGTGCATTTTGCTTACTCATCATCAAAGCAGTTGACTAAAACTAAGTGTGGTTCTAATATTTATGTTACTCCCTATTGGGAGTTCTAATTCCGGGTTGTTTTTTTTTAAATGTCCTGTGAGTTACCTGTGCTGTGTGTCCCACCTCATGCAGCGGAACCATGGCTCTGGTGGGTGAATGGTGAGCAGATTCAAGAATTCCTGGCTCTCTTGAATGTCTCTTAAAGTAGCAATTCACTGCTTCTTGACAGGCAAGTTCTCAGATGTTTGTGCTTCAGTCAAACAAAACTCCACACATTGGCCAGCATTAAAAAAATACTGTATACGTTCTTTTTCTTTTTTTTTAATTAAAGAAACAAACACAACAAATATGTTGATTTTAAATTCCATTTAAAGTGAAGCTTGAAACTGTTCAGAAGCAGAAAAACACTGTTTAGGGGCGGTCACTGGACAGCAGAGGGCTGTTTAGACTTCAGTAGGGGGTCTGATCTTAAAGGGTGGTAATCAAACTTAGTAGTAAATTGAATCCATACTACATTTGTGTCTGCCTTTCTCTTCTGTCTAGGTGCTAACAAAGGACCTTGAAAGGCATGCTGCAGAGCTGCAGGTACAGGAAGGATTACCCCTCAATGGAGAACCTATAATAAATGTGCCTCTCATTCATGCTAGGTAATGCATGTTGAGTCTTTGGTCTGTTTTCAGGAGGATCTATTTGTCTCTTGTCTAATGGCTGTCAGTGTCCATGCATGGTGCTGAAGGCTTCCTTATTTATTTCTTGAGAGACTTGACTCTGTGAAGCTATTACCAGGAAAAACAGTGTACATTTTGCTTTTTTCTTCACCGTGACAAAGGCTGAACTGTCATGAAGACAAAAGCGAAATGAAACCTGCTTATAAGCTGAACAAACAGCTTATAACTAGAAAAGTAACTTATAAGTAGAACAACTGTTCTGTGAAACATGTGTTGATTAAAAACAGAGAAATGTATTTAAATTTCTGCTGTTTACTGGAGAAGTTGGGAAGGCATTATGATCTAGCCTTTTGTTAGCAAAAGGCTCATCTTTGTAAGGAAGTTGATTTGGAGGGTGTAGACCTAAACTACAACTGGTAATATTTATTATTCCTTGGATGGCTGTTTTGACAGTGGTGTATGAGGATGTGTTATTTCATACTAGCTTAAATCTATTAAAGGATTACTGGTAGAAAGTCTCAAGAATATTAATTCTAATTAATTAAACTTTAATTTGAAATGAAGAAGCTGAGGTTACACTAATTCTGAACAAGCATGTGCTTAGAAGAATCATAATTACTGTTATTTTAAAAATGAGAGTTCCTTTGAGATCTTAATGAAACAAGCCCTTAGCACAATTATTTTTTTTTTCTTTATCAGGTGTAATGGAATCTCAGACTTCAGGAGTCTGAGAGGGACTAGGAGTATAAGCCCTATTTGAGTTTGTTTTGTTTTCTTTTTTTTCCTGCTGTTGCTGGTTTGCTACAAGAAAGCAGCATGTTTGTCACACTACATGGGGGTTTGTCACACTATAACATATTTTCAAGTTTTGCAATATTATAAAACTGCACCCTTTTAATTACACAGTAGAATGTGTTTAGGAAAAACTTGTGGCCAAAAAAATGTATATATATCTAAAATTCCAGGAGACAGCTATGGACCATTATCCTGTAGAGGAAAGTATTCAATAAGTCAATAAAATATCATGTTCCTAAAATGGTTCTGCAGCATAGGCAGGGTTGAACAATGAGATGGTGGTGTTCAGGGTCCTAAGCGGAGGGAGCAGAGAAAACCCTGGATTTCAGGAGCCAGACTCTTCTCATGGGTGCCCAGTGACAGGACAAGGGACAGTGGGTACAAATTAAAACACTGAAAATTACACGTAAACACAAGAAAACGTTATTTTACTGTGAGAGAAGTTGTCTAGTCTCCATCGCGAACATAATCAAAACTCAACTGGATGTGTACCTGGGCAACCTGCTCTAGCTGACTCTGCTTGAGCAGGAGGGTTGGACTAGACAATCTCATGAGGTCCACTCCATGATAAACAATTCTGTTTAAAGTTTGTTATTCTGAATTCTTTGGCTAGGTATTATTCTTTGTCATCCTTAACAAGGTGCAGTGTGTTGTACCTGATGACCGGTTCTTATGTCCTTGAAACACGAAAACTCGCGCTTCTTTTTGGAGCATAGACATAGTAAATCTTTGATCCTTTTGTGTTGCAAGACTACAAAAAATTCAGAGACGGTTACAGATGACTATAAAGTAATTTCTGTGGTATCACTAGTCTCAGTTGTTTACAGGAGGGAGATGTCACCATATAAACAAACTGTACAGCTGTCGAGGTATATACACTTGAGGAATATTAAACCTAACGCTACTTTCTAGAACAGGAATCAAAGACTATATGGTGGGTCCACAGACAAAATATTTCTAATCATTGCTCTGGATTACTGTTAATAGATTGGTGTGTAAGCTTGTTGTTGTTGGGTGTGGGATTTTTTTGTTTGTTTGGGTTTGGTAGGGTTTTTGGGTTTTGTGGGGGTTTTTTTTGTTTGTTTGGGTTTTTTTGTTCTGCATTCAAGTATGGTAAGCTTTCAAAATGTTAATGCCTAACTTTTGTGTAGGGTGTACAACTATGATCCTCTAACTCAGCTGAAAAACGTTCGGGCCAACTGCTATGGAAAATACATTGCCTTGCGTGGTACTGTTGTGCGTGTCAGTAACATTAAGCCTCTCTGCACTAAGCTAGCTTTTGTATGTGGCGCGTGTGGAGATGTTCAGAGTGTTCCTCTAACTGACGGGAAGTATACTCTTCCAACTAAGGTAAGTTAAAACCATTTAACTTCATACTTTTCCATTATCTGTAGTGATTTGACAAAAAGCAGCACCACTGGTATTAAAAAAAAAAAAATTCTAAAAAAAAAAAAAGCTAGGTTAAACAGCCAACACATTAGAAAAAATCAGACTTACCATGCAACTTTGTATTACTGCCTACTCTTGTTATTTGAAAAAAATGGATCCTGCCGAAACAAAAGCAGCATGTAGAAACTTCCTCAAATATCGGGGGCGGGGGGGGAAGGGAAATCTCTTTTCATTTCCATTTTACCAGTTATGTTTAAAAAGCCTCCTCCACCTCACTGTGGCGGTTTTCTATGCTTAGATTGGTTTTTTTGTGAGTTTTTGTTTAGAACTTTCTATTTTAATTTTACTGTTTATGAGTCAGGGTTCAGGTGTCTGTGCTTGATAGCTCTTCATTAATTATGTGCTAATTTGTGGTCCTAATTTAACTAGCTTTTTTCCTGAAATGGTGTTAATGAATCACATTGCTTTCTTTTTTTCTTTTTTTTTTTAAACCAAATAAGGCAATTTCAAATTATGATTTTAAAAAAACGTTGAGAATGAATTAGAATTACTGTTGTTACAGTGCCTTGTTCCTGAGTGCCGTGGCCGGTCCTTCACAGCTGACAGAAGCTCTCCTTTAACCACTACAGTGGACTGGCAGTCTGTTAAGTAAGCATCTCTTCCCTTCTGCAAGAATTTTAGCCCTATTTTTTAATGAATTTTTAAATGACTCTTATTACAGGACATTAATTAGAAAAAAACATATTTAGATGTCATTTGGCACAATAAGACTTTCGACACAGAGCACATGAACTTACAGAATCTGAATGTAAGAAGTGGAAAAAAGTAAGCAGATTCCTTTTTTTTCCAAGCTGACATCCTTACTGTAGTAAGCTAATGGGGTGGACAATAAACAACACGTCAAACTTTTCTGAACGTATATTATGGGGCAATAGTAGGATGGTCGTAGCGCTGATTGCATGTAGTAGGATGGAAGCTATGAAAACCAGAGCCATCATCCGCCTTCCTACACTTTAACATTGTTAATAGCTGTAGAAACAGTAACTTATCCCCTCATACCAAAGATCTCACAAATTTTAGGCATGCCTACTTGCTGATTAGACACACAAAGTAGATGAATGGACAGGTACAGCACTATTTCCTTCTACTGAGCGTACCTTAAGGACTGGGGAACACAATCAATACCGCTTCAAACTAAGATTATTTTTTTTTTTAAACCCTCAAATTTACTTTCAGTTCATTCAAGTCAACTGGCACAGCTGACCAATGTGATTTAATAGGGCTTTTCTAGCTGACTTACAGCTCATTAAAAGAAATCATTAAATAATAGATACAACCAGAAATGATTGAGAAAAGCTGCAAAGAGCACAAACTGAACATTTCTCAAAGGACTCAGTTATGGTAGGAGGAATTTCCAAAAAGCTATTATATTGAGTAGGTTTAATATATGAACTATACTAGTGCTCGGATAAAACAACTGCTTTGTAATACAAATTTTGAAGAGTGCTTGCTGCAAAAGAATAAGATTATTAAAATTACATGGTGTAACATGGAATGAGCCACCCTGTCACTTTTTGACTACCCTGTTGCATTACAACAAGAACTTGTTAATTGCCAGCCTTTTACAACTATACAAAGAGTGAGCTACTGTTCTACTATTCTTGTCATGGTCTGAGGAATTTTTTAGGCTTTGCTAGGGTTAAAATGCCAATTAAGCATTCATCAGGGCAATAATGTCTGACCTCCTTAATTTTTGTATATGAGGTCCATCTTATTTCATGTACTGTACTTATTTCTACACGAACATGCTCATCAGTGCTAGAAGATCTGAATTTCAACATTATTATTTCTGGAGTTCATAGTTATTGTCTTTCTGGGTTTTATGGATAATATATACCCATTTATTAAAGTCTGAACTAAAAAAGTCTGTTTCTTCAAATTCAGCCCTGCTGTTGCTAGTGTTTGTCGGGGCATTTCTGCTGTCTGCTGTCTCCCTTTTCAGTTGGGAAAGGATTGGTTGGAAGCACACAGCTGCAGATCTTGTATGCCGTAATTGAATCGGAAGTGCTATGCATGAAGTGTATGCTCACCTTGTGTTTTGCAGGGTGCAGGAACTCATGTCAGATGATCAGCGAGAAGCAGGCCGAATCCCTCGCACGATTGAATGTGAACTGGTTCAAGATCTTGTGGACAGCTGTGTCCCAGGAGATATGGTCACAATTACAGGGATAGTAAAGGTGTCGAGCACGGAGGAAGGTAAAATACATCATCTGAGAACACCTTGTTCCTAGGGTGGGGATCTTTCTAGTGATTACACAAGAGCAACAACAGCCATCTGCCATAATTTGAGACCTCAAAGTTGTAAACGCATTAAGTGTATATTTCCCAAAGTTTTATAACGAGAAGTTATTTTGAAAAAGCCAGAAGCAGTGCTGTCCAAGAGGAGCACTGTCTCTAATATCCGCTGATAGAGAGAGGGTTTCACAACCTACTGGTCTGTATGCAACTGTGGTCCTGAATCTGAAGTGCCAGTCTGACATCTGCTGGTTTAGTATGTCAGCTGATAGGAGAGCCTTCTCTGGACCACTAATGTAAGGGGGACATCCCTTTTTCCTAAAGTGTCTCTGAGAGACTTCTTTTTTTTTCTTTTTTTTTTCTCGAAGTGAGGCTGTAATAGAGTATATTGCAGAGAACTGCAGTACTGATTTACTGTGAGATCACATTCTCTGCTCAGTAATCATTGGGGGATATAGAAAATGATTATTAAGCTACATATTTAAATCTTCTGCACTATGGATTTTTTTTTCGTCTGAATATTGAGTGGAAACATTTTATATTCAACTTATTTGACTAGAATAATGTAATAATTCAAAATTCGTGGGAAAACTTCATTTATTCTGGGAGAAAATTCTCTCTATACACATATACCCTCTTAATCCAGCAAAATATTTTATTGCATGCCTAAACTTAAAGAACAACTGTAACTAGAAACTTACTTTGCATCAATTTTTGAAAATGTGATGTTCAGTTACCTAAATATGAACATTTTGCACATGACTGTACTTAATATTTCTTAATTACCCTATGCCAGTTGTAAATAACATCAGTACTTAAGGATATAAAAAATATTCCTTCATCCTTTCTCAATTTTTCTAACAGGAGCTTCTAAAAATAAGAATGACAAGTGTATGTTCTTGTTGTACATTGAGGCAAATTCTGTCAGCAACAGTAAAGGACAAAAACCAAAGAATTTTGATGATGAGACTCTTCAAAGATCGTTCATGGAGTTTTCACTTAAAGACCTCTATGCTGTTCAAGAAATTCAAGCTGAGGAAAATCTGTTCAGGCTCATTGTGAAGTAAGTTTTGTCGGACCTAGACTAGGTCTAGGATTAGACTTCTCAATCAGCATGACCAACTTCAGACAAATGTGACAGCTAATCTTAAAGCTATGAAATGTCTAAGGCTTCTGCAATAGACACCACAGAGATTTAACAAACTAGTGGGCAAGGGGCTTGGGAGGAAGTGTTCAGTTCAACCCTGAGACAGAAAGCCGCAGGTAAAAAAAAAAAAAAAAAAACAACAAAAAAAACCAAAAAGAAAGAAAACATGGTAAAAAGGATCTTGAAAGTTACTTAACAAGCTTTCAGCTTCAGCCTTCAGAACTACATACAGGAGTACACACCAAAGGAGAACCATCTTAGAACACTTCAGTTATATATTCACACACTGCTCTTAAAAGCAGCTGCTTTCTTTCTGCCTCCTTCCTCCCTGCTTTTGAAGGAGATACTTTTCTCTCCGAAGAAAAAAAAAAAAAAAAAAACAACAAAAAAAAAACCAAACCAACAACAAACAAAAAAACACCAGTTAATTTTGCTCATCACTGAGCAAATTCAACTCACAAGTACTGTTTTGTTCTCTGCTCTGCTTTTCTGCAGCAGAGGAAAGAGGTGTGAGAACTGAGCAGAGGGTGTGAAAGACCCTGCATTCAGACAGAGAAGTACTTTTCTAGCTGGGGTGTCCCTCGGGTCCTCCCAATGGAGTCAAAGAACAGGAAACTAGAACCTTTAAAATGAGGGTTACAGGTAGCTACTTGATTAAGATAATAGGTGCAGAAACCACTGGGAAACTGATTCTCCTCTGTATTTATGTGAACTCGGATGAAAGGCTTTTCTTCTTTCAAGCATATCTGGTTATCTGAAAAATTCAAGAAATTTGCTGCTGATTTAAACTGATTCTGTTAGAAATTCAGCAACAGCTAACCAAAAATTTTATATGTTTATAGAGGTATTGTATGACAAGAGAGACAGAACAACTGATTATTTAATAGTAATACAAGATTTATAGTCCCCTTATGTTAGTGTTCTTTGTTTTTCAGCTCTCTTTGTCCTGCAATCTATGGCCATGAGGTAAGTAATTTAACAGCTCTGCTTGCGACTTCAGTTTGAAATGTTTACGCCCCAGTAAACTTGCAAAGGATTTATAAAGCTTCTCTGGGTGGGGGGAAGGGGCAGGGACTGTATTTACAGGTGACTGTGACTCACAGTCACTTTCAGTGACAAGGAGGTGGCAGCCTTTTACCCTTAAGTTCAGACATCTGGAAGGAAAGGGTTATTACCGCCAATTCTAGGGAGCTCTCAGTATTGGTCACCATGATCAAATACTTACTAGTGTTGGTATGTACCACCACAGATTGTAAAGGCAGGTTTGGCCCTGGCGTTATTTGGAGGATGTCAGAAGTTTGTAGATGACAAGAACAGAATCCCGGTGCGAGGAGATCCACATGTTCTGGTCGTTGGAGATCCAGGATTAGGAAAAAGTCAAATGTTGCAAGTATGGGTTGACTTATTTCTATTGTCTGATTGTATTTTTCTCCAATTCCTTGCTATCTTGACTTCTTCTAAGCATGGTAGGATAGCTGCGCTAAGACCCAAGGGTTGCTTGAGCCTGGCTGGAGCTATCTTTTCATGTAGGATGCCTCAAATAAGGAATAGTACTCAAAGGGGTCCCCTGCTGTCCTCTCCTTCCAGGGAGCCTTGCAGAAGGGATCAGGCCTGTTAAAAGTTACAAAGCAGGTATACTTGCTCAAGCCTGTGAGCTTTCAAGTATAGGCTTGTTGTCCTGCCCTTATACAGGGTTTGTTTTTTTTTTTTTTTTTTCGCCAACACTTTTCCCCAGTCAGGAGTTTCACTCCTGCCTATCTTCATTTAGCTGATCCGTTGTCAAATAAAATAAGTACACTCTTGGAACTAATGCAACTTTAAATGCCATGTCACTGACCTTCTGTGAGGTTTACTTCCATTCTCTTACCTGATTTCTATGTTGCTAGCACAGATCTCTGCTTTTTGGGAAACGGACTTGCTGCTGCGTTTGGGTTTTAATCTTTGTGGGCATTTCTGCATGACTGTGACAAAATCAGTTAGTAACAGAATCTTTTCATCTTAAACTGAATGGTTTTAAAGTTGCATGTCATTTTTTTTCCTATGGTTACTGTGAAGTGAAAGAGGGACAGTTCACCTAGACCTGCAGCATTGCATACCTCATTTAAAAAGTCCAATTCTTTCTAATGTGGACATGTTACGTTAGGATATGACTTGCAATAACTTAACCAAAGTGATGGATTTGCATGCAAGCATTTTGGCAAACAAATTTTTAAATTATTTTTTCATTGAATGGGGACTCTCTAGCATACGGTAGATGATTTGTTTTTTCACATTGTTACTAAATAATGGAATACCATTCAAGAAAAGCTAGTAATCTGTTCCTCAGATAAGACCCTGAGACAAGGCTCCTCTCAGTCATTGCTGTCACAGGAAAAAAAATCCAAAGGAGAAAACCAAAGCTGTGTAGGAGCCAGGTTTTTTTGTTTGGTTGGATTTTTTTATTCAATACTCAGTGCCTGTCACATCTGGCACTGAAAAAATGTGCTTTGGGTGTCACCTTTTAAATAAAATAGAGGTACCAGTAACTATAGAGATCTACGGGGAAAATCCAGTTATGATAACTGTATTCTATGCAAATTTAACTGCAACATGTCTGTGTTTTGCCAGTCTATGTGAAATTTCTTGAAGCTTACCATGCTTTGCTTTTCTAGTTCATATTTCAAATTGTAAGCTGCTTTCTGGATACTAGAGGCATGGACAAGACTAGGACTGTCCTTCATCCCCTAGTTGTGGGGAGAGCTATGCATGCTTCCTTTGAAGCAGCTTGTGTTGGGCACTCAGACAGCATGTTAGTCTAAATAGACCTTGGGGTCTGAAAGAGAAACTCTATATCTGCAATTCCGTGACGGACAGCATGTCCCCAAGCATTTCAATATACTTTAAAATGTAAATGTTGTACCCAAAGCCCTAGTAGTTTTGATAACATGTAGACATGGTTGTGTGCAAATATTGTGACCAAAGTTATTTCTACTGTTTTGCAGAAGTAAGTCTTTTTGGGGTTGGAGGGAGTTATAACTTTACTGTTGGGCCACGTTAAGTAGAAGGGAATAAATTTGGATGTGCTTTGAATTGTTTCTCTAGAATAAGGCTTATCAAATTCTTCACCTTGGGGAGGGAAAAAGTATTTCTTTCTCTTCTAGGCAGTGTGTAATGTTGCTCCTCGAGGTGTGTATGTTTGTGGTAATACTTCCACCAGCTCTGGCCTGACTGTTACACTGTCTAGAGATGGCACTTCTGGAGATTTTGCCTTGGAAGCTGGTGCTTTAGTGCTTGGAGATCAAGGTAATACTTGTAATGCCACAGGTTTGGCATGAACAAACATGGAGGGGCTTGTGCTGCTGCGTCTGAGGTTAACTACAGTGCTTGCATAATTGTGGACTAAAAATGTAAATTTGAAGTATGATATTGGCTTTCCACATCTTGGGAAGTTCTGAGCTTCTCCAGTGACTTCTCTGGAGGTGGTTGCTGCTTTCCTAGGGCTTAGGATGTGCAGGAAACTGGAGCCTTACCTAATGTGTCAAAGAACTAGGATTTCCTTGTTGAGAAATCTCTTGACTTAATGGCAGCTACTGGATTCTTACCGTTTTTGAAAAATAGCTGGCTTATGAGATTTGTCATCTATTTCTGTTTTTAAAAAGCTTGTTTTGCCATCTTACTGTGTAATCAAGACACTGCTTCCACAAGCCAGGCCAACTTCGTAATTGTTCAGCTGCAGCAGCATGAAATGAAAACAATCCTTGCTGAAATGGAGACTTGGTCCGATGTCTCCTGCAGTCCCTAAGATGTTAGGCTGGACTTCTGATGGATTGTAACATACAATCTATCAGACTATACAATCAGCACTGGATTGTAGCATACACTTGTCCATCAGTTAACGTGTTTTCTAATAAGTCTTTGTCTTGTCTTAATTGGTTGCAGGTATTTGTGGGATAGATGAATTTGATAAGATGGGAAACCAGCATCAGGCTTTGTTGGAAGCCATGGAACAGCAAAGTATCAGCCTTGCCAAGGCTGGCATTGTTTGCAGTTTGCCAGCTCGGACGTCTATTGTTGCTGCAGCAAACCCAGTTGGAGGACATTATAACAAAGCCAAAACAGTGTCTGAGAACTTAAAGTGAGCACTTTCTGAAATGCTGCTTATATAGTTTACATTCAGGAGTAGGTGCTTCTGGAAGTCTTGTAGTTTGTATGTATTGCTTTCTAGTTTCCTGGAGCTTGAACACATACTTACTATAATAATTTTCCGTGGCTTTTGAGAGAGAAATTGCTGTTCTACTTTATTCTGAATGAATGGGACAGGATTTTTTAAGTGTTTTTGAAGTGGAGCAGAATTGCTGTAATTTTTCCACTTTATGAGCATTGTGTGCTTTTCTTGTCTTTACTCTAGAATGGGGAGTGCTTTACTGTCAAGATTTGATTTAGTTTTCATTTTGCTGGACACCCCAAATGAAGATCACGATCACTTGCTGTCTGAGCACGTGATGGCAATCCGAGCTGGAAAGCAGGCAGCATGCAGCAGTGCTGTTGTGACTCGTACCAACACGCAGGAGCGCTCTCTTCTTGAAGTCATTTCAGATCGACCATTGCTTGAAAGACTAAAGGTAGGACTTGCCCTGTGACTGTTGCTATGCCCCTTCCTGTGGTGTTCCTTGCATTGGAACCTGGCAACCCTGACCTGCTGGATGTCCTCTGTCTCCCACTCCCATTCTTCTCATGATAATTGGCTCTGAATTAAAGAGGAAACATTTAAAGCTCTAGCCACCGGTTTCTAGCTAACATTACCCCCTCTGCTGGAGCTGCTAAAGATGGGTCTCAAGCCATCTTCATCTCCACACAGAAGAGAATTTATTAGCTGAGCTGGTTTGGGGTTGGTTGTTGTTTTTTTTTTTTTTTTTTTCAGTTGTGGTGGTGAGAAGACACTTTGCATGAGATGCTCTAAAGCAAATTTGCTGTGTTAGATTTCAATAAAGAGCTACAGAACTAGGCTGGATATAATAATTTGATATAACGCGATGTGCTGTGAAGTATTGAATCTGAATAAAGCAGTGTGTGAACAAATCCTTGGGCATCTGCAACTCATGACAGAATTGAGGATTATAGGAGAGAAAGCATATTTTCTTACTAAACTTAAGTGATCAGTTTGAGAGCTGGTATTGTCGAATGCCAGGTCTTGAAGGAATATCCCCTACTGGAGCTAAACACATGCACTTCTGGAAATGGGATATCAGCAGTGACGGTTTAATCTTCTGTGGAGATATATCTTATAACAATTGGGAAATTGGATTTTCTCTTTTTGAGAAAGAATTCTTGATATAGTTAAATCGTATTTGGCACTCCTTATCATTGGAAATGAGAACTTTCAGCTGCTTTTTCTGAAATGGCCAAATGTGTTTAATTACACATCTAAGCATAGTGTATGGACTTTTTAAGTACACAGTTCATATATGAAGCACTAAAGCCCTTACAGTGAAGATTTCACTCGATAAAGCATAGAAGATAAAGATTTTATGTTAAAATTTGTATTGTATAGGGTTCTGACAGACAGAAATCTAAGCTCTTTGTAATTGGGTTAGATCTTACCAGGAGAAAACTTTGATGCCATTCCACATCAGCTGCTGAGGAAGTACGTCGGATATGCTCGGCAGTACGTTCACCCAAATTTATCTCCAGAAGCTGCTCAGGTCCTCCAGGAATTCTACCTTGAGCTCCGGAAACAGAACCAAGGAGCAGACAGCACACCAATCACCACGAGGCAGCTAGAGTCACTGATTCGACTTACAGAGGTAAATGCAAGCTGTAATACTTGATTGAAAGCAAAGAAATTATTCTTAAACTACTACTGATATCCTATAATTTTTGGCAGCTTCTTCACGGCTATGTTTTTTTGTTGTGTTTAAAAAAAAAAAAAAAGTGAGAATGCAAGAGACTTACAAATGCTTAAGAGCTACTGTTGCTTAAAGCCTCTTATAAACTAAAACACCCTTGAGGGGTGGCAAGAGAATCTATCACATTCTCCTAAAAGGAGAAAAAGTAGGTGCAGGCAGGGACAAGCTGCTGCCCATCTTCAACTTAAACTGCCACTGTTTTCCCTAACACTATACCTTAATAACACTATTTGTGATCTGCTGCTTCCCAAGAATGCACTGTTAAAAAGAAAATGCACTCGAAGCTACAGCCTAATAATGTGAGTATGCAGGAGATGACATTGAAACACTATAAAAAAATAGAGGAATCTTCCTCTAAATCCTGTAGGCTCAGGTTCCATCTCTGCTCCTAAAATTCGTGCTTGTTGTAGGGTGATTGTAGCCTTTTTTCACATCAACTATAATATATCTGAAATATACCTTTGTGGGGTTTTTTGTTTTGTTTTAAGGCACGATCAAGGCTGGAATTAAGGGAGAAAGCTACCAAGGAAGATGCTGAGGATGTAATAGAAATAATGAAATATAGGTAATATACACTGCTTTAAAAAATAAATAAAGCATTACGGTGCTATTCATTCAAAACTTTTTTTTAAATGCAGATATGCAAACACAGTGAAGAAATTATGAAGAAATTATCAAGTTTAGGCCCATTGATACTAATATTCAGATTTGTTAGCTCTTCTTTAAAAACTGACAGCAACCCTAAGTTGATTGCTAAGGCCTTTGCGTTGTATCATTGTAGCGGTGATGTATACCAGTGCACAGTAACTTAGACACGAGGCGCTGCCAAAGGTTTTTCTCTCGTGTGATTACTCTCTGTTGTTGCAGTTGAAAAATTTAAGTTCAAAAGTGATTTGGACAGATGTTTAGTCTACGTTCCCTAGATAGTGACTTTCTTACTAGGAGATGGTTTCCTATGTGGCTTCTGAAAGCTTTCTCAAGCAGTTATGTTTCAGGAAGGAAATTAATGTACTCTTGCTTTTACCTCCTGTTGATTTTTTTTTTTTTTATATATATATTTTTTTAGCATGCTGGGAACCTACTCTGATGAGTTTGGAAAACTGGACTTTGAACGTTCACAGCATGGGTCTGGGATGAGCAATCGGTCACAAGCAAAAAGATTTGTTTCTGCCCTTAACAGTATTGCAGAGAGAACTTACAACAATCTCTTTGACTTGCAACAGCTTCGACAGATTGGGAAGGAGCTACAAATACGAGTAAGTTTGGAAATCAAGCATTTCTTCAACAACAAACTGCAAGACCAGTCAAAATTATTTATTGCAAAATGGGAAGTGGAAAAGGTACACCTGTTGTGCCTCTGCAATGAACAGAAATAAGCAGTGTTTGCTGCTTCTCTTCCTGAATTGCCTTTGTAAGCTTTACTCATCTTACTAGCTGTTTGACAATAACTACTCCTTGCACTAGTAAGGGTTGGTTCTGCTTCTGAAGCCGGTCCTTAGCAAGATTCTGTTTTGTTTCATGAAAGGCAATTTTGGTTTCGGTATACTTTACTTCCTCTGCCTCCCCAGAGGACACACCTATTTTTTTGTTCCCTAATTTAGACTGTTGGGATGTCCGTGTTCTACTTCAGCAGCGCAGTGACGCTTCTGCTTGGCCTTCTCTGGCCCAAATATGCCTTTTGGGTT